GACGGACAGACAGACATGGCTTAATCGATTTCTCTATTCATTCTGAGCATTTATGTATACATTTGTCTATATCTATCTCGATTCGTTTTGGCTGTTACAAACAACCGTTATGTGAACAAAATTAAGATACCCTTGTGCACAAGTGCGCTCGGGTATAATAACATGGCGAATATGAACGTAACAGATCACCAAAATTTCATAGATGATAATAGATAAATATGGTAACGAGGGGATCAATAGCTTTGTACTTGTAGCTTTAGTGTACTCAAAGAAATCGAGATAAGAAAGGTTTAATGTGTCTCTTAAAAGTGGACTTTTGGTTGGTATATTCTTAGAAATATTTGGTATCCTTTGTGCTTTTCGGTTATTGTTTTTGAGTATGTTGTCGGTCGTTTTTCAAAATATACAAATTTTCGATTCTTTTTTTTTTGTGTTTGAGTTTGTTAGGTACTGAAACAAATTGTCACTATTCCTCTTTCGTAATTACCTGATTTGCTTTTGTTTTAATTTTTGGCTGCTGCAGAGCCCTTTTTCGATGACTTTGTGTATCTTCTTCAAGCTTTTTACCATTACAAGTACTGTGAGATTTTCTGCTATCTGCAAGACACTTTTGAACTCACATTTTAAAACTTCCTTATTTCTCATGCCGCGGACCAGCAAATTGTTATTACTAAAAAAATTACCAAATACTAATTACTACTAATTAGCATTATTTAAACCTAAGCACTAATTAGGCAAAAGCTGAAAGCAAGTTTTTTATGTGCATAGAAGATAATAAAACACACAAAAAAATAAGGAAGTAAAAAAATGTATTTAAATGCTGCCGATGTTTTATTTTCCGTGACCGATGGCATTTTTATGTAAAAACCAGAAAAGCTTTCTTCTCAGCTCAGCGTTCGACAAAAAAAAAAAATGGTTAAACAAAAGACTTAAGCAACGAACCCGCAACACAATTGGCAAATTTTTCTATTGTATTTACTAGCAGCAAGAATTAAAAAAAAGACAAATACAAATAAATGTAAAACCAAAAGTGTGTTTAGCTAAGCGCTCTCCAGCTGTAAGCATCGTCACTGAAGGTACTCGTACATGAATTTGAAATCAAATTTCAAACAATAGCAACAACGGCACTGAAACAAAGCAACAGCCAAAGCGTAAATGCTTGCAACTTTCAACTTTTAACTTTCGAAGGAATGTATTGATATCTCCGTGATGCAAAATGCACACAGAGTCACACTTTAGGGTAAACACAAAGCCCTGGGGTGTGTGGTGCCACTATGCGTCCCATGTACGAGAGATGAAAACATTTAGAAACTGCTCAGACAATTAATGACCCAACAGTCTTACTAAGTCATTTACAAATCTTTTGCCATTGTTCATTTTTTACGCTGCTCGCTTATCAACGCTTTTGTTCGCTTTGTTTTCCTATGTAGGTCTAGCTTTGCTTTTGTTGCTGTCGCATTTAAATATGCTGAGCGATGGAGAAATGTGGCGCTTTGATGTGTTTAGTAGTAGTAGACTATTTTAATGTGGAAAAAATGAATACAAAAATGGTATTAGCAGCCACAAAAAAAAAGGAACGAACGGGCGAACAACTTAATACACTTATGGTTAATGTCAGTCGGTCA